CATCCAACTAAGCAATTATAATACACAATTTACACTGAAGCAAAATAAGCTGTTCGTACAACTTAACATAGGCCAAAGCAACCTAAATAATTAGTCAAAATATACTGTTCTAGCTAAACAATCAATCTGATCTTTTCCGTTGGTTTTAGATGCTTGGGTATTAAATTGATAACGATATGAATAAAACTAGTCATAGATTTCTATAAGTAACCAATAGAATAGCGTTCACAAATCTCTACAAGGCAGAAGTAAGACTATGAAGGGGTTAAGTGCTTACCACTCGTTGTTCCTCACCACCAGTATCGTAAATAAAAGACCACCTCAGTAATGTATAGGTGTAGAATTTCTCTCATCTTTAATCTTTCAATAAATCAGAATAAATGAATTAAAAATGATAACAAAAACGGAGTTAACTTTCGATTAATTTTGTTTATTTATGAAATTGTCTACACAATTATACAATTCCTGTAGACTGAACGATTCATTATTGAATTTCACAAAAATTTATTTCAAGTTGTTATTCATTGTAGACTGACATCAGGTTTCCCTTGTTCCTCCAACTGATATCAGTCTACGATGAATAACAACTTGAAATATTTCCAAATCTCCACAACTCTGTCAACATTCAGTTGAACTGGCGCTCATTGGTGACTAGCTTCGAGAGGTAGTCCCGAAGTTCCAATGAGAAGTTGTATCGTGACCGGTGGGGGCAAAGCCCGATGGTCGTGAGGACAGTTACTCAACGATGACATTAGGTGGCGGTTGTGCTATATCGTGAGCTAACAGAAGTTGGAAATATAGACCACTGGATTCTAACCCGGTGGCTCAATGGTGACGTGCTGGCCACGGAACCTGGAGGTCGTCGGTTCGATCCCTGGTGGTGCAGGGTCGTGGGTGTGCACTGCTGAGGAGTCTCATACTAGGACGAAACAGCTGTCAAGTGCTCCCAGGTTTCCTTTGTTCCTACATCTGATATCAGTCTACGATGAATAACAAATTGAAATATTTCCAAATCCCCACAACTCCCTCAAAAATTTATTTGAATATTTGAATAAAACGAAAATGAAGCAGTAAATTCTCTTATTAAGATTGAGCGTCGTATCAGGATCATCGTGTTTTCATCAAAGAAAATTTAGTCTTCTTTAAAGATTAAAAGTCATTTCAATTAATTCACCACCATGACACATTTAAAGAGTAATTGATTGTATAGTTGGTACTTACAGGTTAATGATGAAAAAATTAGTCCTTATTATCAGTAAATAACACCTTCTATTGAAGAAGAGTTTATTTATAATTCAACTGATTAGTGTGCTGGTTTTTGGCAAATATATTGTTTAATTAATAGGAATTCACACAATGTGTGATAGATTAAATCATAAAGCTTATGGAAATTGTTTTTAACAGATAAGATTCAAGGACGATCTAATATAATTTCATAGACTTCAGGATCAAAATTTAACCTGATAAAGTTGAATAAATTGAAGATTGGATAAATGGATTATGAATGAAATGTATTTATAAAATCCCAGTAAGGCAGACAAATAAATTTCTGATGTTTTGTGATCTTATGGAGATCGCTACTTCAGAGAATAAAATAAATTTTATCGTATGTTCAAATAGTAAACAGCGACAATTCAGATCAGGTTGTTCATGCATGATATCATATCATTGTATGTTCGAACCTCAGACAGGATACCGATTCCCTCGATGTTACAGATACGCCTTACTGACAAGTACCAACAAGCACGAAAGCTTGATCCAAAGCTTCCTGATGATTGCCTCAAACCAAATAACATGCATATATGTCCTGCCAACATAATAATACTTAGAAAGGTTTTATTTAAGAACCCTATCTAAAAAAGAAAATCCCAATCATATATGCTTAACATTTTGGGCATACACATCAGTTACATCTGTGCATCAAATACCGCTGATTTTGAGTCATACTGACAAGCTAAGGTTTAACCTTATCGGAACAATAACCAGAACTCAAAATCCTTTAAATTAACAGTAAGTATTTACATGAAGTTGTGTCATACTCAATTTTGATCGTCCAGACGATACAACTGTAACAGTTAGTTGTTTCCTACTAGTCTGAAAAGTAGTTTAGTGTCCCTACCTAGGACCCTGTATCTAACACCATTAATTCCAAACGCAACAGTTATAAGTGCTAACAATAACATGAATGTAGTAAGGGCTAGCTATCAAAATTGTCTACATTTATTTTGTGATCATAATTCATACGGGTGGAGTAGCACACCCAACCAATACTGGTCAAAGGTACATTTCATAGACAAGAGAATATCAGACGAAACCTGAGTAGCGAACAGTATTTTATTGGTGATTAGATTACCACCGTTAGTGAAATGTTTACCTTCTACATCTCTTCTGTTGAGGACAAAGAAAGATACATCCTTAGAATGAGATGATCAATTTGCCTGCACAACTTAATACGTCAATGTCGGTAAATATACATAACACTCTTGTTTTTATTTGCAGTAGTTAGCAGGCCTTTCATTTTCAGAGCGGCCTGCGCAATATCCATCGCAGAGAAGGAGATGAAACAAACTTAATGTTGTTTTTACATTGAAGAATAAAATCTCTGAGAAAATCAAATTGAACTATGCACTATATCTATTGGTATCATAGCCCCTATCTCCTTCTTCATTTTAAGGTCTAAACATTTGAATTTAATTTCATCTCTTTATGCTGCTGAGAATTGCTATTCCTGAACTGATGCAATATTGTTTACACCTCTGCACTGTTACGATTTTCTTACAAACAAATAGAGTTTTCTAAGAAAAACATGTGCTTGAACTTCTTGATTAAACAAACGGTCCAGTAGGGAAAGTTTTCAATGATACCATTTCCTGAAATTATACAATCACACTTATAGTTATTACAACCATATAAGTTTATTGCTAACTAATAAGATTGGGTTACATCATTCAAGTAGCATTCACAGTTAGAACAAAGATTGATATCTGGAAACGTTAGGAAATTGTTTGATAACCCATAAGACTATGTAGGTGACGAGAAAAGCAAGGGACTGGACACGGTGGAAACTGTTGGTAAATATGAAATTACATAAATTAGTGTCTACTCAAAAGATATAAAGTAGTTGAGAAAAGAAATAAGGGTTATAATGAAGGTAATAGTATTAAACTGACAAATTATGAGATTGGAAAAGCTGGACAAGCATTAAGACCATGGAACGATAAAAGATTGAATATAGGTCTTCTGAAAGAAGATATCATCTGTGAATTAGTAAATTGCCAATGGCTACCGCACATAAGTTTCGGATTTGCATTCCTACCGAACAGTTCTCTTTGACTTTGAAGATAACATTGAAGGAGGATTCTGACAGAGATGCATGACTAGAGTTGACCAAATATTCAAGAACTGTACTGAAAATTTACTTACATTCTCCCCTAGACAATCAGTCGTGATAATGCTTGGAGATAGGCTTAGAAAGTTAACCGTTTGTGTAGCCTATATAAATAACTCTGCAGTAGCAAGTAAATTTGTAAACACATATTGCAGTGGTCTAAAGCGAAAGCTTGTCCTTCACACATTATGGAATTATCTATCGAATAGAGGTAGTTTGCAGGTCATAACAGAAGAATGCTTTTCTCAGTGATCTGGACACCCAGTTCTTCAGGATCTCCACAGAGATATTGTCTCTGAAATTAATATTCAGAAATGAATTCTTCCCTGGAGTCTCATATACTTGCTCTGTGGTGGTTGCATTTCAAGGTTTCACCTACACATCTAGATAAACATTTATTTTGAGTTTCGTCGAAGTCCGTTCAACTCGTCATCAACTGTTTCACTTATGCATTTTCTTCTCAGTCTTGACGATTAAGGATGAATTGGACTTCCTTTTCTGCTCGGTGGCATCCAGATATAGGAATTTACGTATTGCCTATTCCATATCGCTTCCCCTAGATCAATCTTTGGATAGAACAGCTCGGTCTCCTTGTGAAAGCAAACAAAAAACGGAATTCCAAGTTTTACTTTGATTGCAATGTGAACTTCATTGACTGATGACTCTCACTGAACTTACCAATTATAGTCTCCCCATCAATGAGGCACAGTCAAGGGTAAATGCTGAGCATAATCCTTCCCTTCAAAGGTGCACAACCGGTAAAGGTAAATGACTCTAACCTCAATAATACATTATTATCGGTTCCAAAATCGCTATCATTCAGGAATGAATGAGAACGTTTGGCTACACATCGAAGACGACTGATACACCCTTGCTACCCAGAAGCTGTTGCTCATTGGCTTAGGCTCTCAACTTTCGACTAGTGGGTTACGGTTTCGAACCCAGCTCCACCTACCGAGGTTCAGGCAACCATGTAGTATCACAATTGGCATACTCCCTACAACATGAACATTCACAAGATTGTTAAGTGGAATTCGACTTTTCTTCGCTCCCTGAGTGGCCGCATTACTGAAGTGGTCCGTTTTCAAGCTTTTATTCTGGGCACCAGAGATAACAAACTTGAAGAAACGCTCCATATACAATCCAGAAAGGAGATGCACAACAGGAAAAACTGATCAGTGTTTTGTTCGTGTATTCTGACACGTGTTGTCTAAGCCTGTTATTGTGGGGTATGAGACCCAAATGCTGATTTTAATCCTGTCTATAACCAATGTTTTTATTTCAACTTCAATCATTATTTCTGCACACGTAGAATAGTTAGTGAAACATGTTTATGTAGCAGTTTTAATTGCTAATTATTAAAATGAAATAGATGATCTAACTTGAGCAAAACATCAACGGCAGAAAAACCGTTTGGATTCACTAAACACCACTAATTTATAAATGTTATAAATGATTTTTTTGTGATTCTCTTAAAATGATTTTGTTATAAATTAGTAAAAGAATGTCTACCAATAACTGTTCATGTATAATTTGAAATGTAGAACCATGAAACAGGTCACATAGAATCCTGATTACAAAACATACCCAAGAGACTAGAAAGTCAACAATCTCTACAACAATAAATTTTATTAAATATTTTAATTGATACCGCTTTTTATACCTTGAAAACAAAGAATAAAACTTATACGAAAAGGGAATATATTGTTAAATCAACTTGTCTAGTGGTAAAATCATAGAAAGTAAATCTTAAGTCCTAAATATTGAGGATTATTCTTATTCTCAAATGATGATAGTACGAAACTTGGTTTAACAGAAGAAGTTATTGAGATATTTGAAATCAGTCAACACTATATCACATTCAAAAAAAACCGATAAGAAGTAGAAATGTTTTCATAGTTCAAAAAAAAAAGTTAGATAAAATCAAGTTATACAAAAATCTTTGATACAATTATACTATCGGTGTAGTTCGTAATCTAATCAGATGTTTAATCTGTTGAGAAGATGCTTCTAGTTTTCCTCGCCGACTGGCTAGTTCTAAAGATAAATTCACAGCACGTCGAAAACAAGATTGTGCATAACGTAAACTGGAAGGAACAAGTACTCCAGAAAACCATCGAATTGGGTCCACTGAAGGGTTACAATGTAAGTTATTACTAGCCAATTCATCAATCAATTGAAAACGAACAGCTTTAATATCCATACCACAGATGGGTTCAATAGGCTGTAAAATAAAAGCGAAAACCTTGATTTTACGTAATGAGCAACAATTAGGATATAAATATCGATCAAGATAGTAATTTATCAAAACGGAAGCTGAAAAATATATTACTCAGACTATTACTTCACAAGAGATGGGAGTGATATTCTGTAAGAACTCAAGGTCTTGCTTATTTATACGTCTAAATCATACCTAAACACAAGATGTTACTAAGGTGTGGTTGGTAAAAGAAGGATATACACACTCCTATCGCATTCGCCCCGACTAATTTCCTGATTACTATTATACGTGTAGATACACCTAAATAAAGAAAACAGTTCCCTCCAGGTGTTAAGAAATGTACTGCTAATAATAGGATCCAGTGATTACATAGATACGTTTCTACCATTCTTTTTATCATGCCTATGATTGGAATGAAGTGATACCTTTGTCCACGTCCAACTTACTAAGAATGAAAATTGAATTTATGGAGCACATTAAGCTTGATATGATTATGAACAATCAGTGGTGAAAGAAACGTTATCCAGTAAATAATACTGTTTCACCATGTAATACATCCAATAAATCAAGTGAAACGGCTCTTCTATAAACACTTAATAATAGTTAATTCATTCCTTAAACAATAAATCCAGTTTTGTTAATTCACTGCACTAAAACCGTCTACGAACGACATAATGATTATCAATACCTCGGGTGAAAGCATTTAGTGCCCTACAATACAATAGATAGCTTGGACTTCTAATACTAAAATTACATCTAAACCTGAAACATTACACTTAATTTCTAACTGACGGTGTATAACCCCGATAAAAATCAATTAAGAGAAACGCAGAAATAGTAAGGTGATCGTACTAATCCCAACGTCATACGGAAGAATATTTCGCTAGCCTCCAAAAATTATACTCAATCATGAAAGCAATTGTCAACTCCATTTTTAACTTACACATCGTTCATCTTATTCATACACTTTTTTATATTTTCTATTACATACTACTTACTATTTTTAAGCACCATTATTAGTAGTTGAAGATTATCGATTATTAACAACTCGTCACAGTAAACTCTCTTATCCAAAACCCACTTGATTGGCATCTTGAGGCAGTTTTTTAGTTTCAATCATGAACTTCTTACATGAAGGTCAGTCTGTCAAAATAAGACCATCTCAAATAGTTCTATTTCATCCTAATGAATCGGTCCATTATCGTTCGCTCTTATTATACTACTTTCGTTACCATTCGTTTTACGTATCCCATGCAAGAGTACATATTCTACATTCATAATCCACTCCAATTAATTATTCAGTACTTCCAAATTATATAAAACGTTTCCCAGTGTTGTACTGTTTTAAGTGTAAGTGCAAACAAGCTACCAACCCAAAGTCTTGACCGTGCACGATACATCCACGGCTACAAAACAAAGTAGATAATAAGTAGTCTATCAAAAACCGATTGCGATTCCTAGCTTTATATTTCACACTAACACCAGTTCATGAAATCCCTGACTGTCGTTCTAAGTCGTGCAAACTACCTGGCTGTGGTCCCCGAGACCACAGGAATCAGTGGTTGAGGACTCTTAGTGGAATGGCCGAAAATAGATCACAATGGCGCAGGTGCATTCACCCTTTGATGTCTTCTTAAGTTTGAATATTTCGAACAGCCTTGATTTTTAAATTCCTTTTCTTCCTATACACCTTTATCTACCTTGATATCAGTCTTTGCTGTCCGCTTGTCTTTTGTATGCTACTGTGAAGTGTGGCAACTTGAACTGAAACACTTGTGTGTGAGGTTCTACATTGATTTTGTCTATCTGATTTTCAAAACAAATTAGCAGTTTCATTTAAGAAATCAGGTATGTATTATTGCTGAGAACAAACAGGAAATTCGATAGAAAGTATACGCACGTACTAAACACGTTAACTGTCATCAAGAGCAAGACCTGCTTATTTACACATCCATTTCCTCGAGTTAACATAAATATCAAATGAAATGTAAGTTGGTTGGAGGTGATCGGCAGGAAGCCCTTCAACTGTTTTGTGTTTCGTGACACTCGTTAGCAAGGTGTAACCTCGAGGAAAATGGGGTCCTGTCCGAGATTAGAACTTGCGTCAGTGTTGTAGTCAGCGACGTTACTACTGGGTAATTATGTATTAACACTATTTTAGATCTGAAAAATATACACCTATAAGCGATGTAACAAACAGACGAAGGAGTAGAAATGTCATTGAGCTAACTCACAAATGCCTAATTATCTCTTATATAAGTAATATAGTTAGATATGATACAAAATCGCCCAATTCTCATTAGTGCATACGTGCAGTTGGTAGTTCTTACTACCATACATAAAAATATCAACAGCATAAGAACTGATACTACTGAATACCGGTTCAAGTTGCTACACCTCATACTACCACATAAACATAAGGGGTAACAAGATGCGAAACAAAAAATGGAAATAGCATCATCAGTAGTCGCAGGAAGCCTTAAGACAAAAGTGAACAGAGACAAAAGAAATAAAGACACGACGTTAAGGTTTGGGTGAATATAGAGCAAAAAGCACCCATACCACTGTGGGTGATTATGAATCATATCATCTAGATCCTCCAAAAGTTGACTTCCATGATCTCATCAACCCCAACGAGAAAGTCGACAACCCTTAACATGCCTCATACTAACAGTCAGAAACGTCTAGATTGATGATACTTTTTGGTCTGATTACTCTCGGTTTTATTTCAACATCTACTTATATGCTTCTCTTAGTACTTCATAGGTAATCGCTGCATTGTTTCACTATACACAAATGATGACGCTGCGAAAGCAACAGCGATTATAATACCTTGCAATTCTTACTGCCATAAAATTAAAAAAAAAAACACAATCAATTATTTATACACTACTAATAAAATAGTTACCTCTTCAATAACTGCAGCACGAAGAGATGCTCCTCTGGTAGACATTTCATTTAAATTATAAGAAGTTGAAGAGATTGAACAACTATTTCCCCGAAGATTTTGTCGTGTCTTCGCTAAAAGGAGTCTACCTTCACCTTTTTTAAACAAACGTTAGTGGGAATTCCATAATTTACTTAAAGAATCTTCTAAATGATGATTTAACTCAATAATAATTGATAAATTTTCCAGATGGTCCAGTACGAGTACATCTAACTCATCATCTGATGGCAAGTTATCCATTGACTTTAAACAAATCTAAAAAATAAAGGTAAACACAATCACAAATTACAGGGTAGTGATCGAAGATGAGATGAAAACTACGATAACAGCAGGATTCAAACCAGCAGTTTCGATTCCTGTTTTTCTTACTGAAACTCTATGTACACACCTCTTCTGAAGAAGAAAGGTAGAAAGTATTTTACGAATGAACTGAAAGTTGACATTTTGGTTTTTAGATGTAATCAGATTACATAATCAAAAAATAAAATCCGACCACTTATAAAAATTGAGATTCACGTCTCAAGCGAAAAATGCTGCTTTTTTGGTAGGGGACTTTAGCTAGTTGATGATGCCGAAAATCTGCACCAGCTGATTTCATTTGTGTGGGATACAGTGAAACTACTTTATTTCGTATGCTTCCAACAGATATTTATAAACAAGCTGCAAAAGAGCTTATCACGATAAAGTGTAGATTTGGCAGATATTGTTTAAAAACAGGTAGAACCATGGCCTTGTATCGTCATGATATCTTTCAGGTAATTTATTTTCTCTTCTACCTCTTTACTATGCTGAGTATTTGAACCTCGTCCCTTTTTCGGTAAATTAATTATCACGTTGGATGTTGGTGTCAGGCAGGACTATTTGAACTGATTTACAATTCTGCCAGATCTTAAGTTGGTTCAGATCGCTTAATCCCACTTACCAACGTAGCTTCGTCACTTGGAACGCACAGACTGATACGATTGATCTGTTAAAGGTTTCATTAACAGAAGTTGAATGGGTAGTCTTGAAACTGATAAAAGTTACATCCTGAAGTGGTAACATTATTCGTATTCAACAATGACACATTTCCTTGGCCCAAAAATTGTGTAAGTGATGACGAAGTAAACATGAAAACTTCGTAAATATTAGCTTGTGAAAATATACTCAGACTACTTAAAATACAGCAGTAGTTGGTATTTCTGAACTCAAATGACAAATAAGTAACTGAATTTAATTTGGAGGATTGTAGTGAATTGATTAATTCGAAAAAGGAAGGAAAACAGTTGTTCAGTGATCCTTATTTCCAAAGTTTGTCTGTCTGATATTGATTCGTGACAAAGAGCCACACGAAAGCCCTGGAGTTGTTTCGACCTTAGAATTCTTTCAATATGGGTTTTTTACAAGGACAATCTCAAAATCTTCCAAATATCTGAAATCCACTAACCTGATAATAAGTGTCCATTAGCTTGCCTACATCTGACATAATCTAATTCACATAAAACCAACCAATGGTAGTTTCAAATTTGATTCAAACAGAGAATTTTACTCCAAAGCGTGCCAATACTACATTCATTATCAAAAGTATGCATTATATACATGAAAAAGCAACAAAATTCTCCTCCCATTGATAGCTTCCTATGTAAACTTCACGATTCCTGTAAGGTCTTGTGATTACTTAGCAAAACAGTAACTTCAACACTACCGCATCCGCTTCGTCACGAACAATTAACTCATATTTCATCACCTAACTAAACTCTTGAGCGAAACTTATCAGCATCCTAGATCATACCCTTTGAACACAAAATTTCCACGGCTTCACTTCACATTTTTGGTAAATTTAAGAAATCTCTGTGATAATAATGTGAAGAGGTTCGCCCATAAAACACCCGAACGAAAACCACCACATTACCAGGCAATCTAAAACATAACAGTCAGATAACAAGTCAACAAAGGGCACGAAGAAACGCAACGAATACCAGTTGGTAAACAACATAGGACCAGGCGATACTGCACAAAGGTCCAAGTCGGCGCACCCTATATCAGTATATTAAGCGAGAAAGCCATAAGAGGGAAGATAAAGAAGTATTTAAAAAAGGCAACCATAAGTGGTAGGAAGTTGTGGTTAGATAAGGGATAAGAAAATACTGAGTTTAGTACGACGCTCAAGATGAAAATGTCGGCAAACCTGTGCCACTGAGATCGATTTTGAACCATGTCACCTAGAGTCCTCAACAGCAGATTTCTGTTGCCACGTAAAACTTAACTGGGAAGTCTAAATCTTTACGCTGACTACAGCAACAATTAAAAACTTCATACACTGTTGCCATGTTTTGTTCTGGTCACTGCTAACCTTTTTCCAGCCTAAACATACTTCAGCTAACATTGTGCGACGAGGCAGACCGTAGCCAAGTATGCGTAACACATGTCCGGACCGCCTGAGTCGATGAAGGTTCGAAACCTCATCAACTGACTTTCCTCGCTAAAACTCTACACCTGACTTTTGCGTTAGTGACGTGGTGACACTACGACAATCTGTGCTACAAAGGCAACGGTGGTCAAACACTAGAAACCTTCTCATATCCTCTACATTTAATAGCCATGTTTCACAGCCATGTAGCAGAACAAAGCGAACTGCAGCGTAGTACACCTAACCCTTAATCGACAATCAGATATCACGGCAGCGATGTAAGTGGTGTAAGCTGGTGAAAGCCAAGCGACCCATTTGTATTTATGAACAGATTTTCTCGTTTACCAACCCGCCACAATTGATCCGACTTCCAGGTAACTGAAGTGGCCAACGCACTCAATAACTCCACTCCCCACTATTAGACAGGGCACCACAAAAGAGAAGTCCTGGAACAACACTCCGCGTCTGGGTAGTGAGAAACATTCTCAAACTGCCCCTCAGGGCTTTTAGAAAACTGCATTTTGTCATAGTTTCACCTAACAGAACTGTCATTTGTCAACTCTAGATTTGAAGACTATGTGTGTGGCAAGATCGATCTCTATGATGTCAGACAACGAGACGGAGACCTCTATAAGTACATTAGCGATGAAGGTGGATAGGCATGAAGAGAGTGGACATCCTTGATGGACACCACTTGGTGTGCACAGCCCAACGGAAAACTTAACATATGCTCTATGTCCACGAAAGTCCAGTAAAGAGCTTTCAATAGGATGATCAACTTACTTGCCACCCCTTTCAGTGAGAGGCACTCCCATAAGGCCGCAATCGGCGAAGTCGAATGGCGCCTACAGGTCAAGAAACATCTAGTGTCAGGTGTTGCTAAGTATGTCCGCGTTCTAGAACCTGATGAGGAGAATACCCGGTCGATAAACCCACAGCTACATCTAAAACCTACCTGATTACCATGGGTTTGCTGTTCTAAAGCTTCAATTCGACTTCCATTGATTACAGAACCTAGAATCTTAGACATAATGTTCTTTAACCTGATTCCTCTGTGGTTATCATAAGGGGAATTTTTACCTCCCTTGAACAGGGACAATCAGTGATTGATACTAGTCAGAAGGGATTATATCTAACTCTCATACACTAGCTAACACAACTTGACTAAAAACCATCTACAACCGTTCTTAAATACCTCTGGAACTAGTCGGTCTAGCCCTGCAAAACTTCCTCATTTCAGTGTATGTACAGCTCTCTTGACTTCTGTAGGTCCTGTCTCCATGTTCCATTCAGGATTTGAATGGATAGCAGGAAACGGAATAGTAGCTGGAGGCCAGTTGAACTGTTCCTCGAAGTGTTTCACTCATCGTTCCAGTCGTCTTATCTACGAGTCAGAGTTCACGAGATAAAAATTCTACCGAAACGCAGTAGCAACTTAAATTAATCCAGAACATGTTTTGTGTAATAGACTAGGAGTCAGGTTTCGTGTGAGGATTCACGATACAATCCTGTTACTTAGGTCGAATTAGGTAGAGGTTCAAGCCACAGGCTCATCCTCAGTGACAAAATAACCTTTATCACTCCAAGTCTTTTACACACTATGATTTAAGGGGTCAGTACGTTTACGTACTGCCTCTAGTGCCCTTTCAAAACTGCAATGTAAATAAAGTCAATAAATGTGATAGGTACCAGGCTATGAACTGCACTGATAGTGAGAAATTAGTAAACTACCCGGCCACTCAGACTGAAGTAGGTTCGGAAGAATATGACACTTGAACCAACTGCTCCAATGTTGAAAACTTAAGGTAATAAACCACATTACATCCATAATATGTATCAGAGGCTTCTTTCATTATAACTGGTGCACAGATTGCTAACGCTATCACTGTCCTAATTATTATTAGTGCTGCCTAACAAGCTGAAAAGACTTACTGTTACCTTATTAATGACTGATGACACGACATACATCATGAAAAATTATTCCCAAGACATTCTGAGTTTTAAAAAAGCAAATAACCGACAACCTATGTGCAATGTAACGACCAGTTGCTAATAGTTTTCGTCTAGCCTGTAGGCTGGTAATTTGTGCAGAGAGGCAAGTGAAGGAGTGTGAGTTAAGCGGTGACCACGAGAATCTAGAAAAGAAAAGACGAAAAGAAAAACGTGAGCAGACGAATCAGTGAGTATACAGGATGCCTTTATACTTAAAAGTAAAAGGTAATTGACAAACGCTGGAGTTTGACAACGAAGAGATGAGGCATTCTAGAAACCAAAGTAGAAGTTGAATGAGTAAGCTTCCCAGTGCTTAACAACACACACCTGTAACGTCTACTCCTAATTTCTGCGCAGTTTCACGTTCAGCCTCCAATATATTATGCTGATAAATACTACGTGTTTGGGAGTTCAGTAGACAGACTAGCGAGTTAGGCACATCCAAAAAACTGCAATTGTCTAATAGGTGTCAGGAAGCAGAGAGATTTGAAAATGGAAAACATCCCTAAAAGGTTGGTGAATTCCTACATCCAATATTGATAGTGCGAGCGTAGAAAACTGATAGTTTTTGGTTTCTCGCGTCTAGTTCTTACAGTTTGGTTCGAGTTGTCTGGTTCAATCCAGTGGTGGACGAGGAAATCTCCTCCGCTTTCTTGATTTTGGCTTCGATGAAGTGGATGTTTTGTGGGTAAGTTGCACTTTGTACGAGCTAGTGTAAGCCAGTTGATTTCTTTGCGCTCTCTTCTAGGCCTTGCGGAACGGTTTCAGGTCTTTGATGGATTCTGATGCGGTAGATCTACCCCATCGACTGCTGTACCTCTGGTTAGCCCGACGGACGGTTGGGTGTTGGTTAAATTTGTAGGGTGTTGTTGTTTGTTTTTTTCTTCAAAGGACTGTGGTGTAGATGGGTTCCTCAAGTGTCGTGCCAGCAGACACCTGGTTGGACTGGTTGCAAAAAGGAGATAGAATATGTGTCCATAGAAATTGATGGTGAGAAAATGGAGAGAAAAACAGATAGAAAAAGAAAAGAGAAAGAAAAGGATGAGTAGGAAGAGGGAAACATAAGGTCGGTAGGAAGAGGAGTAAATAACATAATTGGACGGCTTGTCAGAATAGAGGTAGTAGTTCTATCGGTAGGGGACGGTAACTGGGGGGGGGCGCCTATGGGGAAGAATAAGGTTGAGTCAGGTTCCTCGTGATAGTTGTGTTGCAACGTATTCAATAATGGCTTAGCCATGGTGAGTTAGTAGGTGATGTCAGCCTAGTTCACATCCCAGTTGGATGAGCTCAAACCATGTGTCACTGCGAAACTGTCCAACTTCTTCTTGAAGCTGTCAACAGACAGAGCACTAGCAATCTTGACAGGCAATGCTTTCCAGTGGCTGCAAACTAGCAGAGGGAAGAAGTGTGATCGCACACGGGTTTTCGCCCTTTGATGGGGAATTCTTCTTGGGTAACCACGAGGATCGCCATAGTGGCCGTTCGGTGGGATTCTGCTGTTCAGATGGCTTGGGCTAATGAGTATTTTGTAGGGCGTTATTAAGTCACCAAGTAATCTACAGTGGCTTAGGGAGTAGAGCTCTAGATCCTTCAGCCTTTCCTGATATGGTTTTCACCTCATTCCGACGACACTCTTTGTAGCACTCCTATGGACTTTCTTTGGGAGGTTCACGCCTCCTTTCAGATGTGGTGGTGCAATGACGTTGTGTACCTCTAGGTGGGTCCGTATATAGGTCTTACACAGCTTCGAAAGGATTTCCGCGGTATTGCTGTGATTACTGGGACGTTTTAGAGGCAGCTTTCTTGACGATATCTCTAGCTAGTCCCTAATGTTGATCAATCGACAGGTTGCTCTGCTCTTGAGGCCACGGTGCTGTCGATAGGTATTGGTTCATCGCCACGCAGTTTGTCTCGCTGTAGCAAAGACAAGAGCGAGATCTCTCCCATGACAGTTGTTCGTTTAGTACCAGATGGAACACTGCCAGATCGTGGTCGGTGCTACCGAGGGGGGTTTAAACTTGTACATTTTCTGCCAGCAGGTGGTCACTGGTAAAAAGGTAGTCCAGTTTTGGCGGCTTTCCTCCTGACCCCCAGAGAGTGTCATCACCAATATCCTCGTACAGCCCAGCCTTCTTGATAGTGTTGAGTAGGTTTCGGTAGAACCTTCGGCTTGAGGTTCCCCTGTCCTGCCCAAGATTGAGGGTTGGAGCATTAAAGTCACCGGCTCCAATGACCTGGTCATATCCGAAGAACATCACTCCGGACATTACTTGCAGCAGTTGTCGGTCATCTTCCACGCTGCTAGTGGGAGTTCCGTAGACGCCTCTGACAGGTACTGGGTGTGTCCAACCTCAAATTGACACCAAACGGGGTCTGGGAGCTCTGAAAGTAGAGTTTCAGTTGCTCGTTCACTTTTAAGGCCATCACTTATAAGCATCGCCACTCCGCCTCCTTCCCCAAACTCCACTGTCTCTCCTGAACAGACACATACCGTCTATACCAGTTTCCATGCCACTAATATCAGATGATAACCAAGTTTCTGTTAGCATTATGATCGTCGTTGCAAGGCAGGAACAGAGAAGCCATAATTCCCCTATCTTACTTCCAAATCTCCTCACATTGCTGCAAAGACACTTGGATATGTTTCTAACGGCATGGGGTATCTTGGTGCTGGCAGACCGAAGGGGTCGTGCATAATGGCAAAACTCGCTACAGGATGGCCAGCTCCAACGGAACCGGCCCAATCACTTTCTCCCACAATGGTTTCTGGGGCTTTCATAGAGTCTAGGCCTGTTTGCACATCTTGTCTGTTGACAGTGATGGTGACTTCAGCAGTGGGCGGAGCTGCCATTTGCTGTTGTCTCAGTGTCTTGGGCCTGCTTTCACGGTAGCGAACGTTCCCACTGATGTTATCTTTTACTGTGTACCAAGTTTGCAGCACCATGGTCAAAAGTTCTTGACAGCCGAAGTTAACAGCCGTCAACCGGGATGACGTTATTGTCATCAAGTGTGAGGGACGTGGCAGTCTGCAGACCGCCGCCACCGCTACCACACTTAACCCTACCCTCGCTGATAACCGCTGCCATTCTGGGCGTTGTGAGCGTACTCTTCCACGACTGTGCAGGTTGTCAATTCCGGTATGTCGTGGACAACCATAGGTGTTGGTTTCAGTGTTTGGGTGCCTCGCAAGATGCTTTTCTTGCTGACTAAGGACGGTCTGGTCCGGCTCTAATGCTGGATGACCTGTTGATGACTAGTGTGTGTGACAGCAACATGAATCCTTCTGCCTCCTGAGCTGAGCTCAGGGTCACTCCCATCGGCGGAGGCTTTCCACGAGGTGATTAGTTGCCTCTGTCGGGCCGGTACAGCTTTGCTTCTAAGCTACCCAGTCCTGGTATGGTGCATATGGTTTCCCATTCCTGTTTGTCAGAGGATTCGCTGTTCTCACGACGGCCATCATGCCACACGGGGAGGTTAAATAGGATGGTGGAGTTTGATCAGTCACGAACTCTGTTTTCGTGTGCTGTAGGTGGTTTTTTGTGGGAAGGGTGCACCTTCTTTTCCACTGTCACCCATTTTTCCCTATGTACAGTGGAGTCAGCTGTTAAAGTGACTTCAGAATCAGGGAATAGTGTAGGTGGTCACGTACCGGTCATCTTTTAGGTCTTTTTAGACTACTTACCGGTGTGACTGTCAGGGGAACAGTGCTGACACTCTTGCCACTTGGACATGGGGTGGTGGTCTGTGTGGGTGCCGGCACCACAGTGGCCACTGAGATGTTTTTTACGACCTCGATTAGCGAGCCCATAGAAAGGAGTTGCCTTATACGGCACTGTTTGCAGGTGCAGCAGAACCACGTGCATGGGTAGCGCGCCATGGAGGTGAAATATTGGTCTGGTATGTCCTCATTACACTGACTGTGCACCGACTTATTGTAAATGGTACACTCAAGGGCAGCATCCCTCTTGGCCATGGTGAGACTACACGTGTGACAGTCATCGGTCTGACTAGAAGGTTTGATTAACGACTTTCCTTTCCCCCTCTTCTGCGTCTCAGTGGTAGCCTTCACAGGTAGTCTAGGGTTTGAGCCGATGGTACCGGAAAGACATGCTCTTCGATGAACCACGGCACAAGGGTTCATAGGGACAGGTATTCGACTTTTCCCAGGAGGTGGTTGTCGTAACCGTCCTCCTAAGGTCGGCCCGTGATCTTCTGTGGCGACATTAAGCCCCTTGCCTCCGGCCCTAGTTACTATCAAGGATGGGGATGTTTGCAGCTAAAAAAAGGCTCTGCCTGAGATGTTCCTGATACCAGATTTGGCCAGGGCTCGACTACTACTCATTTCCACTGATGATTAGGAGGGGATACAAGTGAGGTAGACACAGATGTTTGCATCAAGTGAAACGTAGAAAAGTAATGGTAGATAAGGCAAGTTGTCAACACCACTTAGGATTGCCCAGTTGTACGACACGGAAGAATGCCCAAAGTTTCCCACAGGTCCAAGGTATATGATTGAATGAGATAAGTGGCGCTTTAGTTGCAGCAACCTGAGCTATAGCATTTGATCTAGACATTTAGACCTACCACACAGTTGTCCGTTTGGAGAGTGATAGTAATGACCGACTGAGAACCGTAGGTTGTGTAGCAAAACGTTTTTTCCAGTAAAACTGTAACTTTCGTGGAGGAAATATCCGGTTGGGGAGGCTTATATACAGTTATTTCCAAGTAGAATGCAGACGAGGCAAAACGCGTCGGAATTCAAAGAGCGCGAGTTCAATGCCTTTTTAACGAGCTTGTGTAAACCAGTCCACAAGGTCTTTGGTGGATTCCAATGCAGTAGATCCAGCCACTCGTCTGCCATAGCTCTGACTTGCCAGACAGTTGTTCGGACTGGTCACTAGAGGGGGTTAGGGATAGTGAAGAGGAAACCTGGAAAGTGTCTGTGTGAGTGGGTGAGGGGTGCAAAGATATGAAGAACTTAGGTAAGTGAGGCTAACTTATGGCAAGTTGAAGGAAAGAAAAGGGCTTAAATAGTTATGATAGAAAGAAAACTGGTTGTAGAATTAATGTAGTTGGGGTGGCTTGACATTAGTTGATTTCTCCTGTTTAGCTCGTGCTCCAGCCATAGGTGGGTGGACCGTGGGTCTGTGCGTGACTGGCTAGCCTCTTCTTGAAGCCTTCAATAGTTGGGGCTGGGACCACTTCTGCTGGTGGTGCGTTCCAGTACCCGCAGGCTCGGAGGGGGAAGAAGTGCGAGCGCACACGAGTCTTCGACCTTTGGTAGCTTATTCTCCTAGGGTTTCCCCAAGGATCTCCATGGCGGCCACCCGGCAGTATTCCTCTGTTCAGGTGGCCTAGGTTACTCAGTATT